TCCAAGATGGCGGGCACGATTTTTCAAAAAAATGCAATATGGGTATCATTTTCGAGGTACTTGGGGGTGCTCATTACGAATATGGCACTCATTTCTAAATCCAAGATGGCGGGCACGATTTTTTCAAAAAAATGCAATATGGGTATCATTTTCGAGGTATTTGGGGATGCTCATTACGAATATGGCACTCATTTCTAAATCCAAGATGGCGGACACGAGTTTTCAAATAAATGCAATATGGGTATCATTTTCGAGGTACTTGGGGGTGCTCATTACGAATGTGGCACTCATTTCTAAATCCAAGATGGCGGGCACGATTTTTTCAAAAAAATGCTATGTGGGTATCATTTTCGAGGTATTTGGGGATGCTCAATGTGAATATGGCACTATTTGTAAATCCAAGATGGCGGGCACGATTTTTCAAATAATGGCAAGTTGGGTATCGTTTTCGAGGTATTTGGGGGTGCTCATTACGAATATTGGTTTTGTTTGAACTGTCGTGTTTGCCATCTTGGATTTAGAAATGAGTGCCATATTTGTATTGAACATTCCCAAACATCTCGAAAACGATACCCAACTTGCCATTATTCGAAAAATCGCGCCCGCATCTTGGATTTAGAAATAAGTGCCATATTCGAAACCTAAAACCGAAAATGCCATAAGCAAACATTAAAGAAAATAACTGTTAAAATAGATTAAAAAATCGCTTAAGAATGCTCCCCTTTTAAGAAAATAAAATATTTCAATATCAAATATTTCGCTTGAGTTACGAAAAGAAAGACATACAATAAGCTATCAAAGTTGTACTGGTGGTGCCAACACTATAGTAGAAATGAATATATACTGTAAATTTGTTGCAATATGTGCTGCAATTCAAATAAAATTAAAATAAATAATTATTCAATAAAGCATGAACGCAGAGCCGTTAAAAGTATTATAAAATAATTAAGTGTCCCAATCACTTACAGGAGTTAACGAAAACATTTAATGTTTATTCAAGTAAATATTAGTTCAAGATGCGCAAATAAATCGAAATTACAGGCACCACTAAAATTTACGTAATATAATTATTTTGATACAGAATAGCAAAATGGGGAGAAAAAAAATTCGTTACTTTGCAACACTTTCGTATCTTGTTGCCGCGAAATTATTTTTCTGTTTTAGTGAATAATTACATAAAAATATGAGTTGAAACGCATTACTTACTTGTGGAATGTGATGTTAGTGTCTATTTTATGTTTGTCTGTTGTATTTTTACACCCATTTACCGCACATTTCGTCATTTTTAGCAAAAAATTTTGGAGCTGTTCGCGGTGCAATATGACCAAAGTCAAAGTCAAAGTCAAAGTCAAAGATGATTTATTCCATGGGTAAAATAAATTTACACTTGAAAACGTCACATTTAAGGTACTGCTCGTTCACTACGCTGACCTCCCTGAGAAGAACGAGCAAGAAACTCTAGGGATTGCTCTTTTCAAATAAACTTAAATGCTATGGAATACATTTTGAATCAAATTTGTGTGGATTCAGGAGCCATGTCGTCTTTCCATACATCTTTATCTAACACGTAGTCTTCAATTTTGTAATATGATTTTTCGATCAAAATATTTTTAATGTAGTTTTTAAACTTAGGAAATGATAAACTTAATATATGCTCCGGAATCTTATTGTAAAAACGTATACAGTTCCCCATAAAAGAGTTGTTTACCTTGGTTAAACGAAATCGTGGTACCATGAGTTTGGACTTAGCTCTAAGGTTAATATTATGGATATCTTCTTTCTTATTGAAATTATGTATATTTTTACGGGCATATAGAATATTTGAGTAAATGTACTGTGATGCCACAGTCATGATACCAGTCTCCTTAAACTTTTCTCTGAGAGATACCCGAGAGCCTAGACGGTACACAGAACGAATCGCTCGTTTTTGCAATACAAATATGGTTTGAATATCTGCCGCTTTACCCCACATGAGAATCCCGTAGGACATTATACTATGGAAGTAACTAAAGTAAACTAGTCTAGCAGTACTAACATCGGTAAGCTCACGTATTCTGCGGACTGCGTATGCAGCGGAGCTTAATCTGCTGGCCAGAGACGATATATGTGGAAACCACTGAAGTTTACTATCTAAGGTCACTCCCAAGAAGACTGCTTTATTAACAAGGTCTAACTTTTCTCCGTTTATTTCTATGCTTGGACTAGTCGATTTTACGTTAGGTAATTCAAATTTAACACATTTTGTCTTCTTGGCATTAAGCAATAAATTGTTAGCATTAAACCAATAAACTACTTTAGAGAGGGTATCATTAATACGGTCATAGTTAATGTCATGTCTGTCTGTTTTAAAAATCAAGGATGTGTCATCAGCAAACAACACTATTTCGCAATGGTCCTTAACAAAGAATGGCAGATCATTAATATAAATCAGAAATAAGAAAGGTCCAAGTATTGAGCCCTGCGGAACACCCATTTTTACTGGAGAACCCAAAGAAGTCGCTCCATTTATGCCTACTTTCTGAATTCTACCGTTGAGATATGACGAGACAAGTTTCGACGCCTTGCCATTTACACCGTAATGTTCCAGCTTACTAATAAGAGTATTATGATCAACGCAATCAAATGCCTTTGAGAGGTCACAGAAAACACCAATAGCGTTCTGGGACCTTTCCCAAGCATCAAAGATGTGTTTTAGTAACGCTACCCCCGCATCGCTAGTCGATCTACCACTAGTAAACTCGTATTGTTCACTATGAAAAATATGATTCCTACCGAAATAGGACAGTAATTGAGTTAGCATAACCTTTTCGAATATTTTACTTAAAGCTGGTAAAATTGAAATGGGCCTATAGTTGCTAGGATCAACTTTCCTACCGCTTTTGAATAAGGGCATAACCTTGCTGTATTTCATTAAATCGGGAAAAACACCTTGAGCACTAACAGCCCGCGCGCTCCTGGGACGCGTTTGGAACCCTCTAACTTGCCTCACTTAGCGTGTGCGGGCTAGGTTTCTATGCGTTATTATTCTAAGGTCTCTATAATATTTACAAATCCAACGATATTGATGTTTGTTACTTTTCAGAAATGTGAGAATTGAGCACTTAAGAAAAAATATTAAGATTCAAAAACGTTTCACATTAGTGGCTCATTTTATATTTTACAAATTCACACGTAACTTTTACTAAAACTAGACATAAAAGAAATTTCATTCATTCATCTCTTATTTGTCTCTTAAGAAACTGTTCTTTTTAAAAGCGTGCGGATTAAGTGCGCATTTGTAAAAATTTGAAAAAGGCACTAATCGATCTGTAATTAAAAACGATAGTTTAACAAAACTTTTACTAAAAACTAGTATAATAATATTATATGCAAACTTAATATTTTTGTAGATCTGACTGGACCTGTATGAGAACTGAGTGATCTTGTTTTAACTTTTTACAATTGTTTTGTGACTAGTCCAAATAGTGCTCACACCCCTTAAAGAAGATTTCGTACTGCAAAAAGCACTGGCACGAACATTCAAGAAGAGGAAAAAGAAACGACAGCCGTCACTTTCAAAACTGAAAAAAATTCATTTCAAATCTGGTCAAAAACTAAATTGAAAAAAAAAGCTCCTTCCTATTTTTCATAAAATTTTCAAGATACTGTAATTTCGTTCGAAAATAATGTAAATCGTCAGCGTGCCTAGCAGTTGAATATCTTTTGCGGAGAACGTCGAGAGGTAAGTGGAATCATGTTAACGTAGTTCCATTAAATGTACGTCAGCTGTCAAAGAAAGCAATTTCCAGGGTATGCTGATGAGAGGGGTAATTCCATCATTTTAGATTTGAGTGGTGTAATTTGCGCCGCGGCGTCGCTTGTTTTCGCGGACTGCTTGTGCCCACACTGGGATAGGTGGTTTTATCGAGTTGGATACTTAATTTTGCTTCGAAGCTCAAAAAATTTGTACATGTAAACTTTATCACGCAAAAAATCCATTCACGCCGTATTGTTTCGATGCTTTTCAAAGTTGGCTCAGTTAGGCAAAAAGTAAATACTTGTAAAGGTTTTTAGGCTGTAACTGTAAGGACAAGTATGATTGGAGCTCAGTCAGCTCCTTTGAAGACCGGTTCTACTCAATAAAATTGTTGTTTATTTGTGACACTACAAGCCGAATGTTTAACTAAATAGGAGTAGGAGTGGCAACGCTTACTTAAATTATTCCTTTTTGCTTTTACACTACAAATCCGGCAGGTGAAGATAGAAGTTCATAAAAATGTCATATTTGGCCAATTTTGTAGCGTTAATCAATATTAAAAGAAGTGTTACAGTGGCAAAGCGTACGCATATTACGCGTATTCCCTGTCTTCCCTCGGCTACTAAAAAACTATACTCTAGCCAAATTCGATATAGAATAAATTTCAATAAACAAAAAGATATAATTTTTCGGGTTTTCACCTCAGACTGCTTCACACTTACTACTGTTTCAATATTGGATTTCGTTTTGCATCGAGATAATATTATGCGCCCTGGAGCCATACATGTACTTTATTGCGATTAAAGTTTGAACTAAACAAGTCCGTTTCGCTTTTTCGTACCATAACGTCTTAAAAAGGGCTCAACAGCATTTACGCCAACGCAAAACCAAATCCTAAATTGAGCTGCAACTCCTTTGAAATCTGTATCATTAATTCCTTTTCGGACCATGGATGGGCCTTATCATGAACTTTTATTGCGATTCAACTTTGAACTTAAACAAGTCCGTTTCGGTTATTCGTACCATGACTTCTTAGGGTCGTATTCTAGAACTCTAATGCTCAAGTCAGGATTTGAGTATGGTTTAAAGCACTCGAAATCATACTCAAGTCCCTGCCATTAGGGTCGTATTTCCAGTGCTTGAAATCATGCTCAGATCCTGACTTGAGCATTGAGTAGAGTTCTGGAATACGACTCTTAAAAACGATCGTGTCAACAGCATTTACGCCAACGCCAAACCGTATCCTAAATTGGATCAATTTCTCTTTGAAATCTTTACCATTCATTCATTTTTCGTACCATGACGTGCTATTTGACATTAGTTGATCCGTTGTTGGTTCGCTGTAATGTCATAAAATTCGGTTAAAAAAAAACTACTCGTTGCTAGCTTAAATTGAGACGGTTTGCTATTCTATCAAATAATTTTTCATTTATTTTGAGGACTTACATAATTGTGTATCAGTTAAACCGTGTTGTAAGCTGTTGATAAAAGGTAAGGATTCGTTAGATTATAATGTACTGTGTAACTAATCATAATAATAAAGAGTATAAATGTATGTAATATAGTAAATTATTATTATTATTATTAATATTAGAATTCCTGGAGTCAGGCAACTCTCTGACTCTCCAAATCTCTCTCGAAACAAATTTTGATTATCGCCAAAAACGACGCGGTATAAGGATTCAGTCCAATTCTTTCGAATTGGACGATTCAGTTTTTATTAAAGGGTATAGATTATCCAGGGAATTGGTATTAACGACCAACAGGAGGCGTCAGTGGCTATTCATAGGCACAACAAACAGTGTCTGAAGGAATAAGTGAAATCACAGTATGTCACAATCATACAGAAATAAAAAAAATGTAGGTTTTAAAAACAATCTTGCCCACTGACAATGAAGAAGAATATTACAGTTGCAAGCAGTATCACTAAAGAGTGATATAAAGATATGTCCAGCCAGAAAGACTATTATAATGGACTTGATAAAAATAAACTAAAGGCTTAACTTGTTATTTCATAAATAATCAATTTCAGATATGTTATGCTGATATGAATATCACTGGTATAGATGGAAGCTATAGTGGAATCACGCATGGAATTTACATCCAATTAAACTTCATCTCGAAAATCTAAACGAGTGTATGTGGCTGCTTGGTACACTGTTGCACGACAAATTTAAGTTAAAATAAAGGTAAAATTTAAAATAAAGGTTTTAATTAAAGAAAAGAGAAGAAGTTCGTTATAGCTTACATCATCATCTGGATGTGCAAGTAAATAAAGAAATGTTAGAGCGCGGCGTACTTCTGTAGAGTTCTGTAGAGTTCTCATGAGAAATGGAGG